GAAGCTCGCGAGAGTGGGGTCGTGAGTGCTCGCATGATTGGGGCCGTAAACATCCGCAATGATGTTCGAGAGTATAGGGCTGTGAATGCCCCTAACAACGCTCACACGAGTGGGGCTGTGCATACTGCACACACACACACACGCACCAACCAGCCACTCACATGGCCAGTGGCCAATATGCCGTGGCCCAATAATGGGCCATGGCCCACAGGTTGGGGATCCCTAATCTATGGTATACTCTATGTCTTTTCACTGAATAAAGTTTCCTGTTCCTTGTCACAATTAAGCAGAAAAGCACATGTGGACTGTGCACTGTTTCTAACACTCATAGCTCAAAATCTGCTATATAATTTTCTACCTCCACTGGCAATCCAAATCCTCTTCAAATGGGCAAATGAGCTGTCCTTATTTACAAAGTGCAAGGCATATTAAGGGCAGGAATTATTGGAGTCCCTTGGACTTGTTTTTCCTACCCTCAAACACCAGCAGTCAGTGGGATAATACCTCCAATTATTCTCCTTAATGTGGTTTGGGACTGGAGAGGAAGGGATGAACTATTGTCAAAACGCATTTTGGACTTGTGCAAGTGTTTTACATTCAAAGGAGAGAGAGAGAGGGAGGGAGGGAGAGAGGGGGGGGCATCTAAAGCAGTGTTTCCCAAACTTGGAAATTTTAAAATATGTGGATTTGAATTCCCAACATTACCTGGCTGGTGCATTATGGGAATTGAAGATCACACCTCTTAAAAGTTGTCAGATTTGAGAAACACTGATCTGAAGCATCTGGCTCCCCCTAGTGGGGATCATTACCATTACTAAAGGACCTACAATGTTACAAATAAGAAGGACCAATTACATTTATGCCGGCATAGGTACCCCCAACTATAAACAATAGAATCCAGACTAGTTATTATCCCCACCCCTCCTTTTGAAAGCAGCAATTAATTAATTCAGCTTTTGGGGAGGCAAAACTAGATTAAACCAGGATGGTATCTGGAGAAGCTGATTTCCTTGTTCCTGGGGGTTTTTTTCTTTTTTTCTTTTTTTGCAATATCATTTGATACTTCTGGAAAAAGAAGATTGGTAAGGAATTAATTCTATTTACTGCTATTTAGCAAACAAGTAGGCAACCTTTTGATACCCCTAGCAGATGGGGGTCAGATGTTCAAAGTGGGCAAAACTAGAAGCTTCGATTTGGAAAATCTGCAGGTTTTTTCTTTGTTTTAAAAAGCATGCTAAGCCCGTTCAGCTTTGATACTACTATATTTTGAATTTCCTGCTACCTCACGTATAGAAAAGTAAGTCAAATAAACTTCTGAAAATTGCAAAAAAAAAACCCCCAAACAAACCCCAATCCTTATGAAGTCATATAAATTAGACAAGGCAGAAGGAACTTTGGCGTATTACAGGTTAAGAACTGAAGAGTTGGAACTGGTTGGCTAGCTGTCCAATTTCCTGAATGGGCTCCTTCTGCTAGTTGGCCTGAACTATCATTTGCAGCATTTATGTTCTTCAGATAAAGAGGGAACATGCACACTGGCTGGCTGGCTGCCTACTCCACTCCTCCCCCAGCATCTACCCAGTTGGAATCAAGAACTCAGGGTGAACCCACAGAGAACCTGGGGGCACGTTCAGCATGCGATGAAAGTTCCAGAAATATTTCAACTATCCTGGCTAGGTTCCTAGGTGTCTTACATTCAATAATGACATTTCTCCCACTAAAGATATGGTGATATGAAAACACGTGTTCTGTCTGATTTGATGGGAATTCTGCCAGGAAAAAATTGATAGAAACATCAGATGCGAATAAAAATACTTTTTCTCTCCTGGCAGAACTTCTTGCGTTTATTACCTAGTGCCTGTGTGGATGAATAAGGAAATCTACCAGTCTAGAACAGAGAGAAATAATCAAAAGAGCTTCCTCAGTAGAATTTCTACCTGTTACATGAGGTTTGTAAGTGCATGGATCTTGATTAAAAAAAAAATGTTTCTCCTTATCAGTGTCAAATAATTCTTTCCTCAGAACACATGTAAAATAAATATCTTAGAAAATAAACTTTAGTTAAGTTCACACAATGCAATAAACCCCCAACCTAGATTTAAAAAAACACTATTACTTAGTTTGTATAATATGCTAAGAAAATAGTGGCATGGTACAGATGAAGATTATATTGGCCAAACTGTATTTCAAGTGGCTTGTCTTCCATTTTTTATCTATCCTTTGAAAAAATAAATGTTTCCACTATGTCTGTGGGGTACTGAATCTCTAGGTCTCTTATCTATTGTTGGACTCAAGTTCCAGGCAATCCCAGTCAGTTGTTAATTAATGGAGAGACATTCTGAGAATAACTGGAGGGCCTTGAATTCTAGAATCTATTCTGCTGTAGATGTCATTATTTGAAAGTTCCTCTTATTAGAAGACTTAGTCTTTCTGCTTTCAACAGAATTTCTCACAATATAAATTACCAACAAGACTAATAATAATAAAAGCACTGTCTGGATCAGATAAGTTGTGGGTGCTAATTTTAGAGTATCTTCCAATAGATATGATAGTACCAGACTGGGCAAAGCTGGTCTATAAAGAGCTTTGATGCATTCAACATTCTTTGCAATGTTGTACATTACAAACTAATGCTAAGATGGAAAAGATAATAACGGCTTACTTAAGCCCCGCTCCTTCGACCCTGTCCAACTGTTAGAAGAATTTCAGGTTTCAATCTAAGTCCGGTTCTGCAAATAAGACACAAGGCACTGAGCTGTAAAAAGGAGGCAATTCGTTTAATCTCAAAAGCAAAAAAAAAAAAAAGGGGGGGGGAGTGGGCTCACTCCTGGAGATAGCTGCAGAAAAGATGGGGTACAAAGGAATTGTTTTATAGGGGACTGGTCTTTTGTGTGGAGTTTGTACAGTGTGGATGTGTACGTGTTCATTTTGGTGTATGATTCTGCCCAAAGGTTAGCCCTAATTGTCCTTATGTTTGTGGCTTAGCCCTAATTGTCCTTCCTTGTATCTGTAGGCTTCCTTCTTTGTTGTGTAAATTTTGTCTGGGAAGCTTATTTGTGGATTTGAGGAAGTGTGGGCAAATGGTTTCTTTGTTTTATAACTCTTGCAAGGGTAATTGGTTTCTGTATTTGTCATCTGATTGTTTAGCAGATGTGTGTTTTTAGCAATCTTATAATATTTTATATAACAATATACTGTATTAATTTTGATTATAACATAGTTTCCTGCCCCAGTCAGTCATGGATAGTTTTGAGGACTGAAGGGAGTTTCTTATGATAATTTTGTGATTATTTTCACACAATTATATAGGTAGTCCTCAACCTATGACCACAACTGACCCCTACATTTCTGTTTTTGAGATATTTGTTGTGTGTTTTGCCCCATTTTACAGCCATGCCACAGTTGTTAATTCAATCATTAAGTTAGTAATATGGTTATTAAGTGAATCTGGCTTCCCCACTTTGCTTGTCAGAAGGTTGCAAAAGGGGATCCACAGGTGGATACTGCAACAATCATGTGAAAAACAGTCGTAAGTCATTTTTTGCCATTATAACTTTGAATGGTTACTAAATGAACTTTTGTAACTAAAGAACCATCTACCATATTTCCCCAAAAATAAGATATGGTCTTATTTTTTTTTTGCCTCCAAAAGAGGCACTAGGTCTTATTTTCAGGGTAGGTCACGCTACCTCAAGACCTCTGTAGCCAGGCTGTGTCCAGACACCTGTCACACCACCAGCCCACTTATTCTGCGGCCGCTTGCCACCACTTGCACATGTCACCCACAGCCTTCATTTCACCGGCAGAGGCCTTCAAGAACAGGGGCAGTGGCCAGGCTCCTTGATGGGGTTGTTGATGCCACCGCGACAAAGCATGATGGGTGTCGAGATGTGGGAGGCCTGGCTGCAGGGGCCCTGTGGCAAGGCACACCTCACCTCATGTGCAGCAACCAGACAGAATGGGTAGGTGGCCAGCTGCGCAGGCTGTTAAGTAGGGCTTATTTTCAGGGTAAGGCTTATATTAGGCCTACCCTGAAACTCAAGGTAGAGCTTATTTTTGGGGTAGATCTTATTTTTGGGAAACATATTCTAGCACAGCCTTGCGTTTGGGCTGGACAGAAGGACTTTGATGTGTTGTATTTCGTGATTTGAGGTTCACCTTCACAAATAAAACCCTAAACCAGCAATGAAAGCACCCACATAACTTTGCTTTGTATTTCCAACTCAAAAAGCAAATTGGCATGAGTACAGGAATCTGCATTTGGCAAAAGTAACTGGAGGTGAGATTTTAGGCCAGGTGCAATATTAAGATCTCTCTGCCTCATGTTGTCTTGTCTGATGATGTATAGCTAAATGAGGAAAGAAAAAGTGCTTTAATAACTCAAGGCTTTGGGGATCTAACTAGACCAACAATGCCTTGGTGATTTGTTTTTCTCTTCTTTTACTTCTATATTTTTAAACAGTTGCACAGCAGATACTGAAGGTAATGGGTGGGGGTGGGAAAGGGTGGTGTATTACCTATGAAATTCTCTTATGCTGAGTTAAGCAAACAATCCATCAGAAGTGATGACCTAATCCATGCCCATGCAAGTTGTAGGTTAATAAACGGTGCAGGTCTTGCCATGGGAAGGAGTCTACCAATTGAAGCATCTGGAACAGAGGACACCTTTATTTCAAGAGCTGGAGTGTATTATATAAATCATGATGCTGCAGGTTAACTCGTTCTTAATTTGAAAACTGAAAGATCTAGAATTGGGGGGAATACAGTGGAGGAGAGGAGAACTATTAATACCTACCCTGAACTACTGCTACTTTCTCCTCCTCTCCTCCCCCTCCTCCTCCCTGAAAGTTTTCATTCACTCTTGAGAAAGGCTGTGCAAAGCCAGTGTGTTTGGCATCCAGCCAAGTCAGCAAGTTAACTTCTACCAGCAGTATTGCCAGAGGGTGGGGAAAAGTCAGTGTAATTAATTCTCTTATTCCCACCCCCTTCTTTCCCGGGTCCTTCCTCCTTGATTGTGGTTACTGAAAGCTCTACATTTTACTATATCGCATTGAGAAAAAGGTGAAGCAATTTCTTCAGAAAGATCCAGGAAAGAATTCCTGGTTTCCTTCAGATTTCTTCCTCACCTCTCTGAGCAGGCCGGTTCCTCTCTTTTGCCCTGAGTGCGATCTGCAAGCAAACTACCAACTGGCAGAGTAAGGTTTATTGGTTGAAGCCACTTGCCGGCTGATGCTCCAATTATGAATGACAAGGTAAGGGTTTGAGCATGGAAAATCTAACATCAAGGCAGCAAACTTAAACCTGGACTTTAAATGTTGCTCTCTGCCTGTCTGTTTCCTTCCTGTACCCTTTCTCAAATGCTGACTTAAATTAGCATTAAGTGACTAATTAAGAACAACTAATCACTTGCCTCCAGAAGTTGTGGGTGTTCCAACACTGGAGATTTTAAAGACGAGATTGGATAACAATTTGTCTGAAATGGTATAGTGTTTCCTCCTTGACTAGGGGGCTGGACTAGAAGACCTCTAAGAACTCTTCCAACTCTGTTATTCTGAGTTTCCTTCTGCTCTTTTTCAATCCTCACAAAGTACCGTAACCCAAAATTATTGTGGACCAAAAATGAATGGAGTTTATAGGCTTCCAGCACAACATGTACTCCGATTTATCCAGTTCTGCTCCATGTCATTTTCTTCATTTTGGCAGATTTATTCAGGATGGGTGGAGGGATCATGCTGTTACTGTTGTTAAAAGATTCAACTGTTAGAAATGTACCAAATGCTATAGTAGATTCCTATCTACCTTCTGCCAACTTGGAGATATGATGCTTTTGAAGAAGAGCAGTGAGACTTCAAGGAAACAGCTTAATTCAGGGTTTTTCAAACGGTGTTGTGTATAATGCTACAATTCTGTAAAAAAAATTGATGAGATTTTGCGAGAGACTAAAGGCAGAAAGGAGAAAAAGAAAAGGTTCACTTAACACTGCCAATTTTCAGTCATTGTAGCCTCCCCTCTTGATCAGAGGTTCTGAGAATTTTTTTTTTCTCATTAGCAGGTACCATGGCTTGGGAAAAAAAATCTGAATTCCTTCCCCCCACCCCGACAATTTTATCTGTTGCATTTACTTATTTACTATAGTGATACAAATGGCTAATATAAACCAAATTTAGCTCTTTGCTTTGGAAGACCAGTATACCTGCACCAAAATACAGTTACAGATGTTGGCTCAAAATCTGAAAACCAAATTTATTTTAAAGGCAATTAAGTCTCAGGGTTCCAGCTAATCTGAAAAGATGCCCAGGAAGATGCAGACACCTCAGTCAAGGTGCCTCCAATAAGTAACCATAACTGTAAGATAAAGGATTTCCTATACTCAGCCCTTTCTGTAAAACATTACCATACACAGACTTTTTAAAAGCAGAGGATGGTAGAAGGAGTCCTCAACTTATAACCACAATTAGGACCAGAACTTCTGTCACTAAGCGAGGCAGTCATTAAGTCAACCACACCTAATTTTATGACCCTTTTTGCTTTGGTTCGTTATGCAAATTACCACAGTTGTTAAGCAGATCACAGCTTTCCCCACTGATTTTGCTTGTTGGAAACCAGCTGAGAAAGTTACAAATAGCAATCATGAGACTCCGGGATGCTACAACCATCATAAATGCTGGCTGCCAAGTGCTTTTTTTGATCATATGACTGCAGGGATACAGTCATAAGCGTGAGGACTAATTTTAAGCACTTTTTTCAGCACCATGTAACTTCAAACTGACACTAAACAAATAATTGTAAGTCGAGGATTATCTATATATCTGTTGTAACAATATATAAATAACAAAGTGGAAGACGAGTGAAAACAGAAGGATACAACATTTATTATTTTTTTTAAAAAAAATCACCTTCTTTCTAATGCACCCAACAAATCTCAGAATTCCCAGCCAACATTTGGCGGGGTTGGAGAAGTTGGGAAGTTGGGAAAACAGACAGATCTGACCTTTTTTCTTTTCTTTTCTTGTGACGTTCGCAGGACCAAATGCCAAACACTTCCTCTGTGCTTCTGGGACCCCCTCCCAACGCTTCACTCCCTCCATCCGATGACCGTGATGATGCTTTGGCTCAGGCTGAAATAGCCCTTTTGGCTTCCATCTTCCTGCTGGCCACTCTGAGCAATGCCCTGGTGCTTGGAGCTCTGTTCCGCCAGGGCCGCCGGGCCAGCCTGATGCACCGATTCATCCAACACCTCTGCCTGGCCGATATGACAGTGGCCCTGTTCCAGGTGCTCCCTCAGCTCATCTGGGACATCACTGATCGCTTCCAAGGCCCAGACATCTTATGCCGTGCCATCACTTATCTGCAGGTGGTCGGTATGTTTGCCTCATCCTATGTTATTCTGGCCATGACCTATGATCGCTACCGTGCCATTTGCCGGCCCATGCTGGCTTTTCGTAGAGGGACAACCTCACGGCATCGACCTGTGCTATTGGCATGGATCGCATCTTTCCTTCTCAGCCTCCCACAGCTTTTCATCTTCTCCAAAACAGAACTGCCCAGCGGAGCCCACGAGTGCTGGGCAGCCTTTGCTGAACCCTGGGGAGCCCGGGCCTATGTCACTTGGATGGCTCTGGTGGTCTTCCTCCTTCCCACCTTCTTCATTGCCACCTGCCAAGGCATGATCTTCTGCGAGGTCTACCGCAGCCTGCGTTTGGGGCCAGAAGCAGCCCGGGCTCGCAGGGGGAGCCAACAAGGGGTCTCCCCTATATCTGGCGCTGTAGCTAAGACTCTTAAGATGACACTGGTCATTGTGCTCACCTATGTATTCTGCTGGGCTCCCTTCTTCCTAGTACAACTGTGGGCTGTTTGGGATCCTCAAGCACCTACTGAAGGTAGGTTATGCAGCATTCAGTAACAGCTTTTTAACCAGATTGTATCCTAGATTCCCCCAACCTAGTGGCTTTTGCTATGTTGATCAGGAGGAATGATGGAACTTTGTCCAACTCATTTGCAGGATACTGGATTAAGGAAGGCTCTTTTATCCAATAAAACAGCACAGGAAAAGAGGGGGGTCCCCTTCTCTTTCTGCTAATTCCCATGACAGTTTTTATGAACAGGAGGCTCTTTCCTTTCCTTTCCTTTCCTTCCCTTCCCTTTCCCCTTCCTTCCTTCCTTCCTTCCTTCCATCCTTCCTTCCATCCTTCCTTCCTTCCTTCCTTCCTTCCTTCCTTCCTTCCTTCCTTCCTTCCTTCCTTCCTTTCCACCCTGGAGTAATGCATCCATTCCTTCATTTTATTTCTACAGTAGTAACAACAGTGGTGGGATTCAGCCGATTCGCACCACTTTGGCAGAACCGGTAGCTAATTTTTTGTTGCCCAGGCCCAGAAAGGACTTCCAGAAGCGGCATCCACACAGAGAACTGGTTGTTCACATATCTGAATCCCACCACTGAGTAACAACCTAATGAGAAAGAGAGGAACGCTGACCTAGAGTCATCTAGTTCTAATCCATTGCCTTAATTACTACACCCCAGCAAGTCCCAAACATATTTTTAACATTCAGGCTTAGCACACTATGTCAAGATAACATACTCAGAACCTCTCCATAGGTCTGTTGGAATGTCGAGGCTAACGTCTGTCTGTCTGTCTCTATGTCTGTCTGTGATGTTATTTTCTCCCCTGATATTTTTGTGGTTCCTCTGAGACTTTGCTCTCTGATTTGACTACCTACTAGAGATATTGATCCAATTGCCCAGCCCTCCCTTCATAATTTGCCTGCCACTTCCCTAATCCTGGATTAAAGTTGTTGTCTTCTTATTTTGTAATCCAATACAATCAAATATTCATGCAAAAGTATCTGAATTAATTCAGCAGAACATGGAATTAAGCACCAATTAAACAATACATGCATCAAATAAATGCAGTGAATCGTGCCTTTTATTCTGTACTTTGATTGTATTGCATTGCATTGCATTGCATTGCATTATTTATATTGTGTTTATATCACATCACATTACCTTACATTTCCATATGGAAAGAGCTGAAGTTAACCAAGGGCTGGATTGAGTGACCAGTTTTTGACTAGAGAAAAACTCTCATGTGAAGTTCTTTTAATCCCAAGCACATTTTTTAGTTACTCAGTGATGATGGATCTGCCTTTACTGAATATGTTGCAAGATAAACTTTGATGATCTTAACCTCTGTTGGTAACTCCAATAGTTGTTCATTCCTATTATTTACTCCAGGCCCAGCTTTCACCCTCTTGATGCTTGTTGCCAGCCTCAACAGCTGCACAAACCCCTGGGTCTATACCACATTCAGCAACAGCATCTCAAGCGAACTTCACCGAATCGTCTGCCCCAGATGGGCCCATCGGCAAGTCGGCTCCCTGTATGAAGACTCCATTCTCACAGGCAGCTTCTCACTGGGCCGAGACACTCTTTCCTGAGACAGCAGCTTGCAGGCAGAAAGACAGGTGTGACGGGCACTCCTGCAAAATGGTTGACTCTCAGCAACCAGCAGGTTGCCTAAGGCTGGCTCTCAGTTCATCAGAGACACACGATTCTGCTCAACAACACTAAGTGAATGGAATCTGTATCAGAAAAAACTGCAGGCATCGGCAAGACAAAGCTTCTGAATGGATTGTGGGGGGTGTTTTTTGCCAAGGATTGAATTTCCTGATAATCTGATAATCTGTTACAAGGGGGCAACACTGGAGCAGTTACTAGGGAAACAATTTCCTTTTCCAATATTCTATTTCCTCTATAATGTTTTCGGTTGGTTTTGAGGTAATATAAAGTCTGAATCATTGTAAACTTTGGTTTATGGTTTAGCATTACATGCCAATCTGGCTATTGCTATTTAATTAACAAATCACAGTTTTTTTAAAAAAAAAAATACCATTGCTTAGTGTACTGTGTGAAACCAGCCAGTATTTTGTTTGATGTGTTCCTCATCAGTCTTAGGGGTTCAATTTTTTTAAAAAGAGGTTGTGTCCTACCATGAAGTAAATTAAAGTGCTTGTTCCAGCCTCAGAGCTCCATTGAAGAGGGCAGACAGCCCATAAGCCATATATGATCTTATGGAGATTTCCTGGGATTCAATATATTTTGTGAGAAGACTTTTCTACTGGCCTATGGTTTGTGTTGATTGGAGCTAGCAGATGCCATGGGAATGTATCTGCCTTTTGATGTAAATCAATACTAACCAGTGAGTGAGTAAGATAAAAAACTACAATGCCACTGCTGTTGTTATTGTTCTTTGCATTTCTATTATACAGTTGCAGGGGGATGGTCCATTCATTTTTGCACTGCACTCACACACTTCACATGGTAAAGCAAGGGCGGGGGGGGGTATAATCAAAGCTGGGGCTAAGAGGGAATGGCTGGCACAAGGCCACAGAAGACAACTTCCATGCATAAAGAATTAGAATCTGGTTCTTAATACGGACCACGACACCATGCTGGCATTCTGCTTCATTGTTGCCGTGTGAAATAGAATTTGAACACCCCACAAGCTAAAGTAAAAGGATTTGGATTCCAAAATAATAGAACAGATTTAGAGTCTTCAATTAGATGAGGTGGGACAACTCATGTGTGAGCCAGAAAATGGAAGGGTTAAAATAATGGTGGATTTTTGAAGTTCTCCCTTGTAATTAGGTCATGGATGTACTTCGAAACAAGTGGTAGAGCCAAATATGTCACAAATGCAAGGGTTTTGTAGCTATTGGAACACTACAACATAGCAACAAGGGTATACTACTATGGGGCATTTTCCATACTTAAACAGCCACCTCCTCTCATTGGGAGAGAGAATAAGATAAGAATGCTCAACTGAAAGTGGAGGTTCCCGAGGACAGGACAGTTGACTTCCAAAGGAAACTTGCAAGAAAAACTTCACAAGTCCAGTAAAAAATCACATGGCTTCCTGAAGAGAAGGAAGGCACCAGGATGAACCTAATGCTCAGAGGATGCCTGAATGACGGTGCTAGGTCTTTCAAAATGGATTGACTATAGAAAGGTTTGGAATTATGGAGAATTGCATGTCATTCTTCATCTTTAGAGGCCTTTAGAATAGTTTATAGATCCCTTTAAACCCAAATAGATTATTTTAAAATGTTCTCCTGTAGCCCTTTCTTAAATAGTGGAAGGATTCTGCAGAATCCATTAAATATCCAATTCCTCCCATGCTGGCCTAAGGGCATAATTTCGTGTGTATTGTATGCAGTGGGAATAATTTAAGCCTATGTGCCTGCTTCATTTTCAGCTTATGGCAACTTCATCCTTGTTATGTCCCGAGCCTTTGCAAACGGCTCGGGCGTTTGCAGGCAGTCCCGGGCAGGTGCAAAGCTGCCCGGGACCAGACAGGCTGTCGCCAGCGCCGTGCGCATGCGCGGGTGCTGGCGCGGGAAAAGTAACCCTTTTACCCAGGAGTTGCCTATATAAGAGGCTGCGAGGCGTTTGGGCGAGGCTGAAGCCATCTTCCTGTAAGCTGAACGCTGAATAAAAGAAACTGAGAACTCCAGCTGCTTCTCGTGTCTGTTTTCCCGCCACGGACTCAACACTGGCGACGAAGGTGGGATGCCTTGCACTACCTGGAAAGGAAGAAGTGTAAGCTTACCCAAGGAGTCCTGAGCGGCGGAAGAGGAACGGCGTCGACTCGGCAGCTGCCCGCCAATCCGGTGCGCATTCGGGGGTAGGCTGGCTGATAGACCCGTCTCCTGAAGATCCGAAGATGGCGAAAATCGGAAGGCTTTCGGAATTCGACGTCTCACATCCAGAGCGGTGGGAGTCCTACGTATCCAGAATGGAGAACTACTTCAAGGCAAACCAAGTGAGGGAAGATAGCTTGAAGGCCGCCACCCTGCTTTGCGTTTGCGGCCAAGACGCCTTCGAAATCGCAGAAAACCTTGCAGCACCTGTTCCAGTAGAGTCTGTAAGCTACGCAGACCTGAAGAAGCTGATGAAAGAGCACTTCCACCCCAAGGTGTCCGTTATCTCATGGCGCCACACCTTCGAGCAGAGGGATCAACAGTCCGGTGAAACAGCCAAGGAATACATCGCCGCGCTACGGAAGGCCGCCAAGCCCTGCGAGTTCAAGGACCTCGAGGAACGACTGAGGGACCGATTCGTGTGTGGGTTAAGGCATCGCGAGCTACAACAAAGACTTTTCGCAAAGGAAGAATTATCCTTCCAAGACGCCTTAAGGGAAGTCACCGCAGAAGAAGCAGCAGGCGGCGCCATCAAAAACATGCGGCCGATCAGAAACAGTGCAGAGGGTGCGTCCGTGCACCAGGAAGACGTCCGACGAAACTCCGAGGAGGATCCGGACGAGGAAGTCGACCGTCTACACCCCGCGAAGGAAGAGAACCAGAAGGGAAGCTCTTCGGCTCCGCTCAAGTGCATCGGCTGTGGAGGTCGCCACAGAAGAACCGACTGCAAGTTCCGCTCCGCTACCTGCCGGGCATGCGGCAAACAAGGGCACATTGCAGCTGTGTGTCTGAGCCGACGAAAGGCACAACCCCAAGAAGAACGCCTGAAAGGTACCAGATTCCCCAGCCAGAATAGGGTAGGGTTTTGCGCTTCGCGAAGAAGCATCTGTAGAACAGGCACACACAAGCCCATGAAGAAAAAGCTGTCACTCAACGTGAAGCTACAAGGGGTTCCATTATCTATGGAACTAGACACAGGGTCTGCCCTGTCCATCATTTCATTGCATACATTTAGGAAGATTTGTTCCAGAAGTGGGTCTAAGGCCAAGTTAAGGCCTTCTGATATTGTATTAACAGATTTTCAGAACTCAAGAGTGTGTGTTAAGGGGGAGGCCACCCTTAACGTGCAATACAAGAGTTTTGAAGGTCCACTAGACTTATTAGTAGTAGGGGGTGAACGAACGAGTCTCATAGGACTCGATTGGTTTGAGGCCCTGGGGATACACGTCACAGGACTCAACAGCTTACAAACACTCGACCTACAGGAAGTCTGCAAAGAATTTGCAGATGTTTTCAGCCCCCAGCTGGGCACATTCAAAGGACCACCTGTGTCCTTAAAGCTAGACCCCACTGTCACTCCCATTAGGATTAAAGCAAGAAGGGTCCCTTTTGCTTTAAAAAGTAAGATTGACACTGAACTAGACAAACTAATCCAACAGGGAATCCTAGAACCTGTTGATTCCAGCCCGTGGGAGACCCCCATTGTCACGCCTCTAAAGGCAAATGGGGACATTCGCATTTGTGCTGATTACAAATGCACACTCAATAAGGCATTGCAGCAACATGCCTATCCTGTTCCTGTGGTCAGTCACATCCTGGCCTCTCTCAAGGGGGGGCGTGTTTTTGCAAAGCTTGACCTAGCTCAAGCATATCAACAGCTGCCTGTTGATGATGATGCTGCCATAGCTCAGACCATTGTGACCCACAGGGGAGCCTTTAAAGTAAAAAGGCTACAGTTTGGAGTAAATGTCGCTCCTGGGATTTTCCAAAGCGTAATGGAAAACACACTACGAGGTATACCAGGGGTCTGCCCCTACTTTGACGATGTCTTGATTGCAGGAGACTCCACACACATTCTAGCTGAAAGACTTAGGGCTGTCCTGTTAAGATTCAGGGAATCAGGCCTCAAGCTCAGAAAAGACAAATGCAAGATTGGGGTGCCTTCTACTGAATTTCTGGGATTCAAAATTGATGCTGCTGGGATTCATCCTGCTGAATCCAAACTAACTGCTATTTTAGAAGCACCCAGGCCAAAGTCTAAGGCCGAACTTCAGGCCTTCTAGGCCTCCTGAATTTCTACAATTCTTTTCTTCCACATAAAGCTAGTGTAGCTGAGCCTCTTCACAGGCTACTAGACAAACAAGCTGTGTGGCTGTGGTCACAAGCACATGAGGCTTGCTTTAAAGAAGTCAAGGCCTTGCTCACTTCTAACAGTGTTCTTGCACATTTCAACGAGTCTCTTCCTGTGTGCATCGCTTGTGATGCATCCCCCTACGGGGTTGGAGCTGTCCTGAGTCACCTCAGGTCTGATGGAACTCAGGTTCCTATTGCATACTACTCCAGAACACTGTCTTCTGCCGAGCGCAACTACGCTCAGATAGACAGGGAGGCTCTGGCTGTTGTTGCTGGAATTAAAAAATTCCACGATTTTCTATATGGCAGGCATTTCACGGTCTTCACTGACCATAAGCCTCTGCTGGGACTGTTTACCACACGTAAGCAGACTCCCCACATCATTTCCCCTAGAATGCTTAGGTGGTCTATTTTCTTGTCTGCATATGATTTTTCATTACTCCACAAGCCTGGGAAAGAAATGGGCCATGCTGATGGCCTCAGTAGGTTGCCTCTGCCAGTAGTAGAAGCTGACCCCGCGCCAGCTGTCAACATTCTATCAATCCAAGCCTTGCCCGAGCTCCCTCTTAGTGCCAGGGATGTTACCGCTGAAACGGGTACAGATCACACACTTTCACGTGTCCGCTCCTGGGTCCTGTCCGGGTGGCCTGAGCACTGCCCTAGTCCTGAGTTTCAGAGTTTCTGGTCCAAAAGAAACGAACTGTCCCTTTCTCAGGGTTGTCTGCTTTGGGGAAACAGAGTTGTCATTCCCACCTCAATGAGGACTAGGGTCTTAGAATCCCTCCACGAGGGTCATCCTGGCATTGTTCGTATGAAGGCTCTTGCACGCAGCCACTTGTGGTGGCCTGCTTTAGATAAAGATATTGAGGCTAAGGTGCACGCATGCCACCTGTGCCAACGATCTCGCCCAGAGATGCCCCAAGCTCCTGTGCATAGATGGGAGGAAACACAGTCCCCATGGTCTAGGGTGCACATTGACTACGCTGGGCCCTTTCAGGGCCAGTTCTTCTTGGTCCTTGTTGACAGCCATTCAAAATGGCTTGAGGTTGTGCCTGTCTCATCCACCACCACTGCAAAGACTATTCAGGTACTGAGGGGGATT